TCATATTATAAAAATGAAATTTTGAATGGAATTCTGTGAAATTATTTTATTGTGAAATATCAATCTAATTAATCGTCGGTAATACAAGAACCACAATAAAATAGATATTTTTAATATATTAATACTCTCTTTACAAGTTTAATAATGTAAGATAGGGATGAAGGGACACGACAGGAGCAAGTCATGGTCTCCATCTTTGCGATTTTCTTTATATAAGAACATGTCCTTTTCTCCAACTTTGTTTTCCTTTATATACGTGTGTTTTAGTCCTCTTAAATTTGATTTAGGTTTTAGTTTTTCATTATATTTTAATCTTTATAAGTTTTACATTTTTGAAAATAACATTTTTATTCTAATTTATATTATGTAATTACTGAAAAAACAGGAACTATTTTTAAAATATTTTAATTATTTTAAGAATTAATATTTACTTTGAATTACAAAAGGTTGATAAAATTATATTTATAGAATTTAAAATATATTTAAGTTTATATTCTTTTACATATTTAGTCTATATCTCAAAAAATTATGTTTAACTTTATATCTTATTCATATATAAATTAGAATAATCATCTCAATGAAAGTATTCTTGGCTAATTTTCTTGCATCTTCTAGTCTCTCATTTTTGTTTTTATTTCTTAATTAAGTTCCTATATATATATATATATTTGAAAATAAATTGTCAATAGCTAAAAATAATTTGTATCATAATATAAGCTATTTATTATAAATTTAATATTCAATTCATATGATAAAAATATTTATTTATTATAATTTTAATTTATATAACATAAAAATTTAACTTATATATTGTACAAGAAATAAAATACTCGTTATTTTACATATTTGGTTTTTGTCTAAGAAAAATGCTAAGAAATTTGAATTTAATTCTTTAATTTTTAAGTTTATAACCATTTTATCAAGCACCACTCAGACTAACAACAAGCTAAGTTTTCTTGTCTTTGAAAAGTTTTAGGAAAAGTGTATAATTTTTTCTATTAATTAAACAAAATTTACTAAAATAAAAGTAAAGGAAAAAAAAACCTCCATCTTATATATATTTATCACTTTTAAATTTCTATATGCGTTCAATTATTAGAATATCATCGCAACATGTACTCATACTAATTTTAGAAGAAAAAAAATAGTATAAAAAACATTTTTTTTAATAATTAGGAATGTTTTTGCAGCTGTATTACAATTAGCATCATCTTCTTCTCCAAAATGAACTAAAATTGAATAATCTGTTATCAGTTCATGTAGTAAAGAGTTTAATTTTTTTAAAAACAAACATTTGAATTAATTTTTCAGATAAAAAAGTGATTAGAAAATTTTATTTTTGTTAAATAAGGTTTAAGCATAAAAGAAATGTTTATTTAGGTCGACTTGAAAAAATATTTAATTTTAAAGTATTTTTCAAATATTAAAAGTCTTAAATAAAACATTAGTAAAAATTAAAAGGAAAGAAACAATAACTATATTACAATATTTATAGGTTAATAGGTGTCCCACTGTCCCAAGAGGTAAAACCGGTAAACAAAGGCATGCAATAATTGCATTATAAATAGTTAGATAAAAATTCAGGGTTGAAATTCTGATTTCATGTAACATTCAATGAAACAGATATTTCTTGAAAAAAATTAGTTTTTTATTTTTTTTTATTTTTTTACATAAATTATGTCTTTGGGAGTTTTGGTAGGAGATTTTTTTTTTCATATTTAAGAATGAGAATTAGAAATTATAAAAATCAAAATTTTTGAAATTAATTAAAATCTATTTAATTACTCATAAAGATTTATGAGAATATTCATACAAGATTCTTAGAAATTAAATATTTTTATATTTAGTTACAATAGTGTATATATATATATATATGATATTTTTTATAAAAATATTTTTTATTAAATATATTTATTTATTCAAAGCTTATTACAATTTTAAAAGTTAAGGCTTATAGTTAAAATTATTTAAACATAGAACTCAGCAAAAGAAAAATAAAAAATACTACATAATAAATAAAATGGATAAAAATATATTAGTTCATTTCATTCAAATAAAGAATAAATAATAAAGTATTAACAAATACTATTAAATTATAAAAATAAAAAATTATAATAATATTATTAAAATTGACAAAGTTAAAAAATAATAAGATAAAAGAAAAAGAGAGAGAAATAGAAATATGGGAGGGAGAGAGTGGGAGAAGAAGAAAGGGAGAGTGGGAGTGGGAGTGAGAGAGAGAGAGAGAGGGAGAAAGAGAGTGGGTGTGAGAGGGAGAGAGACAAAGAGAGAGAAAGAGAGGGAAGAAGAGAAATAAAAGGAAAGAGAGGAAGAAAGAGAGAGAGAGATTTTGTTTTAAAAAGGATATTGTGATCTTTTATATAATAAAACTTTGTTCCTAATTCGAAAAAGTTGGATTCTCATCCTTCTTATAAGAATTTTTTTTATTTATGAAAAAGTAGGATAAAAATGATTTATGAGAAATTATATTCCTGTGATTTTTTTTTTAAAATAATTATCAAATGTAGGAAACCAAAATTTTCAATTTAAGATCTCTAGAAAAGTAAAAACATTTCACATACCAAACACCTTCTAAATTTAATGTTATACTTTCTGGATATGTAAATAAGAGGAAATGCTTAAAGAAAAAGTACACATTTAGTTTAGTACCTTCAACATTATAGAAGAAGTCATACTCGCCAAAACTAGTTCTACAGTCCAAGTGTGTGTAAAAATTAAAAGGACAGAGGGAGAGGGTAATAATGTAAAAATTTAAAGGGGAAGAAGAAAAGAGTAATGTAAAAATCAAAAGAATTAAAACTATCTACTAAAAATTGAAAAGAGAAGGAAAGAATGTGTGGGGAAAAGAAAAAAAAAAGTGTTAAATTGAATGTTGAAGATGTAAAATTAATATATTTATACTTATAATTATTATTTATTTTAAAGTTTACAAAGAAAATTATAACAATAACAAAATATTATTTTATTTGCAAGTTCTTGAAATTAAAAAAAGTAAATTGATTATATTTATCAAATTATTGAGTTATATAAAGTGATTTACTAAATAAACAGTGGTACTTTGTTTGAAGATATCAATATGTCATTTGTTATTTGTCTGATAATCAAGGACCAGTAATTATAGAGATATCATCTCTTATCTACTCCTCAAAAAAGTAATTACAAATCCTAGATTGAATATATTTAAAAAAAATGGTCTCTCATTATTAATCATAAATATATTTTATTCATACACACACTTTTATATATATATATATATATATAAATAAATAGATACTCTCTTTATTTTTTTTATTTAGTACAAGTAGGGATACCTTACTTATAATGTCTTACCTTAGTTTAATTTTGAGTAAAAAGATATTTTTATTTTTAAATTTGGAAGATGATATTATATTAATAAAAAAATGTTAAATAAGTTTATAAACTTTTATATATATATATATATATATAAATAAATAGATACTCTCTTTATTTTTTTTATTTAGTACAAGTAGGGATACCTTACTTATAATGTCTTACCTTAGTTTAATTTTGAGTAAAAAGATATTTTTATTTTTAAATTTGGAAGATGATATTATATTAATAAAAAAATGTTAAATAAGTTTATAAAAGGGCAAAGTTTAAGAACTTATATGGTAATTTTTTTTAATTTTGAAAACTAATGTGATAAAATTCATCACTTTCATATACCAAAATAACTATATATTTTAATGTATAAGATGTTATTAGTTTAAGTAATTTAGTTTAGTATTTGTGTTCTTTAACTAAAAATTAAGATTCCATCCTTGATATGGACATGAGGTGAATCCACTGAAAACAAGAAAAAAAAAAAGTTATACTCTTTATATAATAAAATAAAATAATAACAATTTATTTTTTAATTTCAGTTCCTTTCATTTCTAATAATAAAAAGAAAACTTGGAAAGTTAGCAAATTGTACGAGGACCGACTGTGCACACTAACAGTAACTTAAAATTGTGTCACCAAAGTTATGAAATTGAAATATTCCTATCATAGATAATCCACGAAGCATATTTTTAATTTAATCTATCTAGCTTAAATCTTATAGTGTATCTCTCTCTATTTTTTTCCCTAAGATATGTTTGTAACTAAAGGAATGTTCCTCTTTTATTCGTCTGTAAAGTATTTTAATACCTTATAATATATTAGCTGCCAACAGGAGTCACACTGTGTTTGTCGCACATGCTTCGGACAATCTTTTATTCGTCTGCGAGTAGATTTTGTTAAACCTTCACTGTCTTATGTGCAAACTAATTGGTGATAAGTTTAATTTTAACCAAGGAAAAAGGGTTCTTTCATTGAAGGTATTTTTGAATCTACAGAAAGCACTTTTGATCGAAAAGTTCAAATTCCTGGTGACACTGATTTAGCTCATGTGAATGACATATAGCCAAGAATATTTTTTAGTCAATTACTTCATTGACAAACTTTGAGAGATGTGCCATCACTGCAAAATAGTCCCAAGGTTGAGAGTTAAAATGAAATATTCGGTAAAATATCCTCTGCTTATGATCGCAAAAAGAAGACAAGGGAGCTGCTAGAGTGGTACACTAGTCCGGTTTAGAGTTGTTAGCGAAGGGCCGAAGGCACTTATTTTATTTTATTTTTTATGCACCATTAACTACAATTCTTTGTATTTTTTCGAGAAGCAAAATGATGAGATTGTACACATAACAGTAACACAGGGTACTCATCAGTTTTACGAGTGAACCCCACTACTTATTGCAAGTGGCTCTCTAGGAGATATGAAGACAAGTAGCAGCATTCTTCACAATCTTTAGAGATCGTTATTAATGTGATGCATATTTTGCAAGTGTCACTCCATCACAAGATGTGACTTCACTATTGTTCACTTTTCATTTGGGGCTGAAACAGAAAATTTCTCATTTGCATGAAATAGATATCCATGAACAGGAGGGGAAAATAAAACGCATTATGTCCAAAATGCACTCATAATAGCCAAGACACAGAGTCTTAATCAAATTACAACTTTTCCAACTTTTAATAAATCTGAAACAGGGGAACTTTAATATCATCTCCTGCACTTTTTTTTAAATATGCTATTTTAAGAGGTTCATATTAAATGAACTTACACTTGGTACTAATCTCTACCTATGAGACTGTATACTCACTAAGAATCAGTATAGCATAAGAATCTTCATTTGTTTTTTTCAATGATATACCATCCCACCAAGAAAGAACTTTAGTTGCATGCCTTCTCTTGTCAACACTATCACATAGCATCCATGTTCCATAAAGTAGTATCCCCCATGCTGTCTAGCATCCATTCACTCCCTGCAGTCTGAAAATCAAACTGTGGGAAGTCACAAGTTTCCATTGCTGAAAGGGGATCCATGTTTAGGCCTTCCATTCCATAGTTATTGGTATCAACATAGCAATTATCCTGAATTGGATAGCTATAAACATTGTTCTCAAGCACATTGGGAGAACTTTTGGGGTATTCAGAATTTTCAAGTAGCTGTGAAAATTGGAAGGAATCTGGGGATGGATTGATGGGGTTGGACATAGTACTAAAATGATTTGCAGCATCTATAAACTCCTTTTGTGGAGGAGATGGTGAAGACATAGAAGGAATATTGAAGGTGCTTGACATTGAACTCATAGAAGCTTCTCCAGAATTTCCTAAATTCATCATATTTGACATGGAGGAGTGAGGACTTGGAGAATTGTTCTGTTCCATCTTTTGGAGCAATCTTGGCATCCAAAAACACTTGACAGCATCAATGAATCTCTTGCTTCCAGACTCAATGTTAAGTTGGCGTGCCTGTTTCTGCACCCTTGTTCTCCAATAGTTCTTGATCTCATTGTCTGTTCTTCCTGGCAGATGCTGAGCAATTTTTGACCACCTATCCCCCAAATGAGCAACAAAAGTATGTTAAATTTTATTTTGGCTCAACTCAATAAGGCTAATTTTGAGTGCATAAATACTCATTGGTTACTGTTAAGAAAATAGGTGATGAGTTTACCTTAATTTTAGAAAACTGACTTATAAAATGAAGAGTACTCTTTACTTATACATACATTTGTACGATCATATCTCAATAGTGGATGTAGGAGTTCCAACAGTTACCTGTTACCCCACTTGGAATGGAGTTCAAGGATCAAGAGTTGCTCCTGTGGAGTGAGGTTTCCTCTCTTGATGTCTGGTTTCAAATAATTCAGCCATCTGAGTCTGCAGCTTTTTCCAGTCCTCTTCAATCCTGAAATGTTGGAATATTGTTAAAAAGGTGAAATAGTGGGAATGAACATATTCCTCTAACTTTAAGAGTACAAGGAATCTGTACCTGCACTTTTGGCTAACATATTCCAACGACCTTCACCATGACGAGCAATATAGTGAATGAGTAAGCTGTCTTCTTCAAGAGTCCAAGGGCCTCTTCTCAGCTCACTCTCTTCTTCATTAGAACTCAACTCTCTCTTTGCAATTGTGGACATGGTTGCTGTTTTTGTAGCTAAAGCAAAAAGGGCGCAAGAGCAAGAGGCAAGAGCAAAGAAAGTATGATATGGATTTTAAGCTCACACCAGTAGCAAAAGCAACTTAGAAATGAGTGTTCTAGTGAGTGTTTCTACATCACCATGGGCTTATATATATATACTCCTCGCGGAATTTTGTTAAATGGGTTTGGTAGACTAGGGAACAAGAGGCTATACGTTAGCTCTTGGAATAACCAAAGCTTTGATTATATTATTATGCCCTTTTTCTGAATAGGTCCCACCTATATTATTCCTTAGTTATGCTAAACACCCTGAACAAAGATACTTTCAAGTTTTAATAAAACACCCTGACGTGTCCATTGCACCATTATCTCCCACTAAACAAACATCAAAGAATCTAAACCGTTAACAAAAGCGGAAATACGTACATTGAGGTTATGCTGCATGCATGTTAACCAAGCAAGTTAATTAACCGACTTAGGAGCTGTGCAAATCAAGAACTCGGGAGAAGATTTTGAAGACTTGACTATGTAAATATTGATTCTTCAGAAATTAGCTGTGACATAATTTGATTATTAAACAGTGCACTTTTTGCTTTTAGAATCGATTCTGGCTTGCAGAACCCAAGAGAAATACGGTAAAGATTCTTTCTTAAGTATACATATATACCCCATGTTAATGACTAAAGGAAATCTTCATATACTATAATAACAGTCCATTATGTTCTTTTTAATCTTTTAGAGAATCCAGTATCTATCTGTAATCTGTCGTAATATTTGAACGTGAAACTAATGATTTAGAGAAAAATATATTTCTTTTATTTAAAGAAAGGGAAATTTAACCTACATCTCCAATGGTATGCCTTTTCTTCTTGGACTATAGGGTAATACTTTATACAGAAGTATAGAAGAACAAAATAAAAAATTCACGTCCTCTTTTTTGCCATTAAATTCACATATAAATCTATACACAGTTACGTTAACTCTCGCAAAAGTTGTCCTTACTGCTTGACATCATTGTGCAAGTAATAGGTCTTCATCACTTTGTTTTTGTAATCACACTTGTTATCCGCAGAAAATGGCTTTAAAAAAGTAACTATACTTCTTTTCCCTTAGCTTAAGTACTTGCCTGTTACGTAATTACCTTTGGGTCTTCTACTATTGTCCTTAGAGGTCAGACCGTTAAACAGTTCATTAAAAATTATAATGTGTTTCGATATCTCGATTTAAAATTTTAAAATTTGTAATTTGTAACTTGAATTTGGTAATTTAATTTTCATTACGAGTAAAATTAATTAATTAATTATATATATATATATATATTTTAAGATTTTAAGATTAAATTTTATAAAAAAATAGATATTAGCTAATTTGAAATATTTAATAGTTTTAAATCAATATTATATAATATTTAATAATTTAATTTTTGAATGTTTAATAATTAAAAAATTTGTTGATATTTTTGAATATTTAATAATTAAGAAAAGAAATTGGAAAAGAGGAAAAAAAAAGGAGAAAGATGGAAAATAGAGTTTGAGAGATGGAATAGAAAGAGGCAAAAGGAAACTTAAGAGACAAGAAAATAATATATAGGTGAGATAAGAAAGAAAAAATATGAAAAATTTAAATTCTTACTATTTTTGAAGAATTTGAAATTAGATTATTTTAAGAAACTTCACAAATGCTTAAATTTCAAATTCTTTGAAAATCCTCCATTCAAACAACGTATTTCACCCCTAAGGCATTTGAAATTCTTCAAAAATAAAGAATTATTTCATTTAAATTCCCCATCTAAACACACTTTTATATATATAAAAAAGTGCCTAAAAACACTATAAAAGAAATTCCTAAAAATACTATACACAAGTTAAATGCTTATTATATACTAGTGGGGTCGAAACACTTTATGCTTTCATATTTTATTTAATAAATATCTAAGAATTACCATTTTTTGTTAGATAAACTGGTGCTATGCTTGGTTCTCAAATCTCAAGGTCTTGTGTTTGTAAAAGTAGTTATTTTTTTAATAGGCTTAATTGCGTTTTTTATCCCTCAAGTATTGCAATTGTACAATTTTGATCCTTAAAGTTTTAATTGAGTAATTTTAGTCCTTAAAAGATTGCAAT